GCACGTTATCTATGGAAGGCCATTACCGCCAAAACCTACCTATTTTAATCCGCGCTTAAATGTGTATTAAGCGCGATTGAATTCCAGCCAATCAGAACAGTGGTTTTATAATCGCGCATATAAAAACCACTGTTCTGATGGGCTGAATTCAAATCGCGCTTAAATAAATACATTTTAAGCGCGATTAAAATAGGTAGGTTTTGGCGATAATGGCCTTCCATAGTTATCAACTTGCTACCAACAGTTTCGACCACCAGGTGACAGCAGTTCCCAAGAGCAGGAATCCCGCTAAATTTAAGACATCAGCCTCGTCTACACATTGGTCTACACGAGGTTTTCTTATCCCGGGTTAAGAACAGTCTCGGGTAAGCTTAACCCGAGTTAGGGAACGTGCAGCGTCTGCACGAATGCCACCCGCTCAACGCTTGTGCGGTTTTGTCACGTAAGTATCGCATTGAATGCACGCATCGATGTAAATACTCATTCACTACGCCGCCTATCGCAGAGTTAACTAATGAACTATGCGCTATGCCGGGTTAGCAGCGTCTACACGACGCTTAACCCGAGACAGCTCTTAACCCGGGTTAGTTAACCCTCCTCACATCGCGGGGTTACACTAACCCGTGTTAAGACGTATCCCGGGTTAGTTAACCCGGGTGAGGCCCTCGTGTAGACGCTTAACCCGGGATCAAAATCCTCGTGTAGACGGGGCTATCATCTTTCCTACACACACACAGCATTAGTTATTAAGACTTGCTGCTAAACCCCTAAACACATAATGGTTCTGTGAATCCTATTTTAAATTCTAAATCTCTGACAATTACACCGAAATACATTGTCATGGGTTTGAGGGTCATTTATTTATACTGAGCCAAATTCAATCACCATATATATATATATTGCTAGTTATTATTTATATTTTCAGAAGCTACTGCTTTTACGGAGTCGCCCCATCAGAGAATCACGTGAATAATCATGATGGAAAAACTACAGAGGGAGAGAAATAGATGAGAAGCGAGAAAGGTAGCGTATTAACATAGGAGTTACAGAATACGCGTGTAGAATCATTGACATAACATAAGGAATGCGATTTGGTAAAAAGCAAATTTACAAGTTTGACATAGAATTAGCAAAGGATATTGAGAGAAAAGGCAATAATATTCAGACTAGTTACTTAATTACTCTGTAAGTTCATCAAGTTTCATAACTTTCAAAAAAATCGTACATTTTAAATATACTACGTATTAACAATAATTATATTTAATTCATGCACCTATTTGTGCAGCAACGCACCTATTGCTACCAACAGTTTCGACCACCATGCAGGTCGCCACCAGGTGGCAGCAGTTCCCAACAGCAGGAATCCCATTGCTCACGTTATGTTTATGCTATGGTTTATGTAAGTAAATCATTTAGCATATATACACGAGTGTGCACGTAGTATAGAGAGTAGGACGCAATTAATATGCCGCTATATATACAAGTAGGATAATTAATATGCCGCTATATATACGGGTAGGACAATTACCTAATATGCCGCTATATATACGAG